CTGTGCTGCAGAGGGCTCAGCATCCCTCTGTAGAGGGGCCAGCAGACAGCCGGCCATGCTGGGGCCTGTGTGTGCTTCAAGGAGAGACTGATGGGGAGGGAAAAGAGCAAGGGAAGGGGGAAGGTCATTGTCCAAGCAGAGCAAGAGGAAAAGGGGGAGATCAGATCAGGAGGGAGGGACAGAAGAAAGTAGATACAATTCTGAAAAGAAAGAGGGAAAGCTGGGGGGAAAAAAAGGAGAAGCCCTCCAGATCCAAGCTAGAAAAGCCCATGTTCACTACAGACCAACACCGGCTCCCAGGACAACAGGCGAGAAAGAGCTTGAAGGTTTGAGAAGCAAGGGGAGGCAGGGAGGAATGGGCCCTGTCTCAACAAGGTGGTAAGGAGGACCTGTCCAGAGCTGAAGGGCTCAAGGAGCTGCAAGCCATCCAGGCAGCCCCATGCAGGGCAGGCAGGCTGGGTAAACCTTCCAAGGGAGCAAAGGATGAGGTCCCAAGTGCTAGTGGAGACAGGGACTGTCAGGGAGGAGAGACCTGATGCTCTCCTTGACGGGACAGGGACAGCAAGTGCTTCTACGTCCTTGCAGACATTCTGCTTACAGAAGAGCCATTACCTGTCTGAGGCTACAGGCTGTGTACACCCCACTGTCGCCTCTCCATGCCATACAGTCTACATACAATCCTGTCTCACCTCTTTCTCTGGTACTGGCTGTGCACACCACATACCACCTACTCCTGCAGTCCAAGCTCTGTACGCCCTTGTGCCTCCTCCCACTGTAGGACAGGCTGTACATACCCCACTGCCACCTCACAAGGCTTGTACCCATCGCTGTGCCATTTCCTCCTGGATAAGATACAGACTCCACACCCCTTACATACACCACCTACCCCAACTTACACTCTGTACTCATGCTGCTGTCACCCCTGCCATGTAGACTGTGCACACCTCTGTATTACTGCTCTTTGGAGTACAGGCTGAGTACACCACACCATCACCTCCCCTGCAGCACAGTCTTTCCACACCCATGCTGTCTCAGGTTCCACAGGTCAGGCTGTATCTCAGGGCTTCTCCCCACCCTGTGGCCTAGGCTCTTTCTTCTGAGGTCCCAAACACCCTCCAGTACCATCCCAGGCACAGACAGCCCAGAGCGCTCCCTTCCATAAACCCAAGGCCCTCCCAACACAGACAGCACTGCCAGGAGCCACCACGTGTTCCTGTCTTGTTCGTGGGACTTTCATCTGCTTCACCACCTCCCCAGTGGCCAACACAGTGTCTGGCCTGCTCCTCACCCCCTCTTGCACTTCCCCAGTTTCTATTAGCTCCCTGCTGGCACTCAGTCTCACTGCACATTCACAGGAGTTTTGCCGATCCCAGTTACTCTCCTCAGCACATCTGGGGCTCAGCTCCTGCATCATCGTCTCAGGGGCCTTACAGGCATGTTCCCTCAGTTGTTCGCTGCATGCCAACGCCAAATCTGAACTAGCTGTAATTGATCTGGATATTAGAGAGTAAGACAGTGATTTGCACTGTCTGGGAACTGCTCCCAAAACAGTGTCTTTCTGAAACAGGGAAAACAGAGCAGATCCCCCATGAACCCTCAGCTTCACCTGCATTGGGTAAATGCCCAATCCATTTACCAGCTCTTTCCACATAAATGACCTCGAAAAAAATCCACTGACCCAGGACAGTAGGACACTTTCCCAGTTATCTGGCAACACCTAAGCCTGCAATTTATGGACACTCTAAGCTAAATTCTAAAATAAGACAATTTCTTTCTGTCCATTACAGTTACAATATTCCTCTTGTCCATGCTGTAGAGAGTAATTAATATCGCACTGTGCCCCTGAGCCTGTGGGCAGATCCAAGTGCCTCTGCTCAGCTCACTGTAGCACACTGAAGTTACCACCACTCAAGTCAGCTTCTCAGATGGTGTGGGTGCTGTAATAAGTCTGAGCAGTGCTGGATTTGTGCAATGAGGAAAGGATGCTGGGTAGCCCCCCAGTACAAAAAAGTCTTAAAGCATGGAGCCTGGGAGAAGGGCAGAAGAGGAGACACTCCCCACTGCAATGTCTGAGAGGTTGTGTTCTCACTCCAGATTCATCAAAGAGGTGCTGAGGACAAGAAAGGAAGGGAAATTTCTTTCAGAAGGTTCACAAAGGGAAGCAGATAGTAATGCTGAGCCAGGCCCCCAGACTGCCCAGCCCAGCCCTGCAGCAACTAGCTATTTAGGTGGCTGCTGGTGTCTCCTTTTCTCTTTTCTAGTCAACATTCCTCCCCGCAGGCCCTGACCCAGCCTGCCTAGGAGGCCCAGACACTTCCTGAAGAGTTCACGATAAAAACTTATGCTGTTAGCAAAACAAATTAGAAAGCTGTGGGAGCCAACGCTGGCACATGGCTGAAACAACCAAAGCCAGAATCGCTGGTTTCCCCACATTATCTAATCTCTCCAAGTACCAGATGTCTTCTTCTCCAGAAGTCTGGTGCAGCCAGTTGGAGCCCTTGGAGAAGAGGTGAATCTGGTGTGACTGGAGCAGGGATGTCTGCCTCAGTTTACAACAAGAATCCTGAGGAGGAAGGGCAGCTAGGAAGGGGAGGCCTGAGATCTGCCCCACGCTGCACCTCTGGAGAGAGGGTTGCTGTAGGACAGCCTCATCCAGGCTATTCAGAGACCAGGAAAGGGGTGCTATGCTGCATCTGCTTACCAGGAATTCTCTCCAACCCCTTTGGAGATAAGAGCCTGAGGAAGCCTCATGGCAGCCGTGTCACTCCCGACCTGCCTGCAGGGAGTGCCAGAATGCCCATCCAGAAGCAGACAGTCTCATTGGAGAGCGTGGCCACCTTTTTCCGTTGCCCTCCCGCAGCCCTGCTGCCACCAGGAAACCTGCCTGGGAAGACCTCTCCTTCACTGCAAGGGTGCCCATTGCATTCCAGGGCTGCAGGGGTGGGGAAGGTGAGCATCTAGCTTCAGGTGCTTTCCCCAGCGCTGCTGATGCACTGAAACTCCACGTGCAACAGCGTCCTGATTCCAGCAATTCAGCTGGTGAGAGCTAAGCATCTTTCAGTCCTCACCAGCAAGATCTGGGTCATGCTAGCCAGGCACAGTGAGACAGGGCTCTGTTCCTCCATGCGCTGGCCTTGGAAGACAGGAAGTTCTCCAAACGGCACAGGGATGAACCAGAAGTCACTGCAGGGGGATACTGGGGTTGAAGATAGCTGGGCTGGCTGGTCTATGGCTCAGACTGTTTCACTCCATGTCTACACATGTCCAGGTGCATGTATATGTACATGAGTGTGTTGTGAACCGTGTCCTGGAGGAAGTTTTCTCCTCAGAGAGCCAGCCAGTAACTAGAGATGGTAGATGTCAAGGGAGAGTCAATATTGCAAGGCATCTGGAGTGGCCCTGCTGGGGCACAGTGGAGGGTTTGTGATGGCTGGCCCACAGGAGCATCACTTCTGGCACTCCAGGACCTGGGGGCTGTGGCAGCTTGGGACATGGAAGACACACCTGGGAAACTGCAGGCAGCAAGAGTAGCCTCAGGGGCATGATGGAAAATAAGGCACAACCGGTCAAAAATAGAAAACTTTATTGAAGTTAAATCCAACAGGGCAGCAGAGCTCAGCCCTACGGCAGGAGCCCAGCCTGCCGCTCACCAGGGTACAAAGAGTGGAGCAGGGGTCTCCACAGGGGCACAGAGGATACAGTACATTGGGGGAGCAGGTGGTCCTCACCCACAGGCTACAGGAAGTAGGTAAAGCCACCAGCACTCATTCCCCCTCTCCCTCCCCAGCTAATTAAGGATAGGCCCGACAGGTGCCAAAGCAGAAATATCGTGCAAGCTGAACTGGCCAGACAGCCCAAGGAAAGAGGGTTCTGCAAGTTCCAGACCCCTCCAGTCACCCCACGACCTCCTGAGACAGCTCCAAGCTCCAGTGCACACCAGCGAGCAGCCCCTCCCAGTACACAGCCAAGACTACCTCTGCCCTGCCCCGCACACAGCAGAAATCCCCAGCTAGATAAAGAGCAGTGACCCAGCCACAGCACACAGCAGAGACCCCAATACCCTGCACCTCGGCCGACCTCCACTCCCAGCCCCACACAACACTGACCCAGCCCCAGCCCTGGCAGACAGCAGTGACCCCCCAAGTCTGCTGGCCCCACGCTGCCAGGGAAGAGCACCGCATGGAGAAAGCACTGACAACCTGGATCCACTCTCCTCTGCAGCGGCCTCGGCAGAAGCTGCAGCATGGCTCCCGCAGAGCCATAGCTCCAGGCCTGATGCTCGCACTAAAGGAAGCCTGATTTTCACCGCTTCTGCTATGGCAAAGGGCCCAAGCCTCAGGGAAGCCAGAACCTGAGCCTGGGAAAAAGGCAGAGCTTTGCTCCCCCACCTAGCCCAGGGAGCCACAGTGAGTGCAAAATTCCCTTTCAGGCTGCTTCACACAGGGATTGTAAAAGGCTCAGCCATACCGAGAGCCAGGCTGGCAAAGCAACGTTATCGCCTTCCTCTGTGCTCTCCAGCCCTAGGCAGGACTGGAAACTGGTTGCTTGGAGCTTCAGCAGGGAGCAGGACCAGTTTCTCCTCCCCATGAATCAGCTCAAGGCACTTGCTCAGTGGTGGAGAGGGGTGAGCACTGTGCTTCTCAGTGCTCTCAAAGCTAGTCCCCAAACAGGGATCCAGGAGGGTCAGATTTCTTCCCTGGGGCTCTGCATGCAGAGGGACATACATGCAGGGCCCTTCACGTCACTGTGATCCAGATAGCGCCACCAGGACCCAGCCCCAGGCGCTCTGACAAGGGTTCCAATAGTTTCGCCCCCCTCCCCTTACCCTCCCTGTCCCACGATTAGGCTCCGTGGCTAGACTCTGTGGTAGTCCTCTGCCAGCCCCCCAGGCCATGCATGCAGAGCTCAGGGCCAGTCCATGCTCACTCCCACACCTCTGTCCAGATGGCTCCCCGGTGTAGAGGGGGGGCCACGGCCGGCCTCAGGATAAGCTCGCCTACCTGCTTGTTGGTGTATTTCTGGGGATTGGTGCGGTAGCTGTAGTCCGAGTACTGCTCGGAGCCTGTCGAGTTGTTGTCCCCGGTGCCAACAAAGGTGTTGGTGGCTGGCAGGTCCTGCACCACCTGGTGCTTCTTGGAAGCAGAGGGTGACTGAGGCTGCAGCTGGATAGAGGGCAGAGGCGAGTTGGAGCGGTAGTGGCGCCCCAGGTCCGGGCTCCCCGGTGGGTAGTTGAGGGGCAGGTGGATGCGGGGGCTATCGCTGACGGAGTCATTCATGAGGTTGAACTTGAGTGATTTCTGCAGCCCTGTCTCCTCCTCATCCTCTGTGGGCTTAGGTGGCTTTGGGGACTTGCTCTTCTTCACTTTGTTCTTGCTCTTACCACTCTTGCTGGCTTGCTTAGGTGCATACAGGTCCTTGGTCTCCTTCTTGCCTGCCTGGTAGCCACTCTTGGCCTCCCGCTGCCGACAGTAGCGCACCAGGACAACCAGCACGATGACGAGGGTGACAGCCACAATGCCAGCAATGACTCCAAAGAGAATGTTGCTTCGTTGCTTGCTGCGCTCATATTCGGGGTCACCAGCAATGTCTATGTCGAGAGGTGTGTCCAGGCTGTGCCCCACCAGCGTGTCCAGCAGTGTGCGGTTGGCCAGTGTCTCATTGACGTAGAAGTGCACCAGTGCCGTGCCATGCCGTGAGGGCTTGCCCTTGTCGTTGACGCGCACCACCAAGCGGTGCAGGCCGTGGTGCTTGCGCAGGATCTCCTTCTCCAGGGTGATGTCTCCACTGTGTGGGGAGATCTGGAAGAGCTCAAAGGGGTTGCCTCCCGTGATGCTGTAGGTCAGCTCCGCATTGACACCAGAATCAATGTCTTCTGCCTTGACCTTGCTAACCTGCTGACCAGGGCTGGTGTGGGGCAGGATGTGTTTGTAGGTGGCATTGGAAGGTGAAGTGATGAAGGGGGCATTATCATTCTCGTCCAACACATTGATGGTCACCCCCACATAGGCAGACCTAGGAGGGTCCCCACCATCCACGGCCTTGAGTCGGAAAGTGTACGTACTCTGCTGTTCCCGGTCAAAGGAGATGCTGGATAGGATGGTGCCAGTGCCATTCTGAATCACAAAATCCCCATTGTCTTGCTCCACCGACAGCTGGATGCGGGCATTTTCTCCTTTGTCAGCATCGATCACCGTCACCATGCCCACAGGGCTGAGGGGCGGCATGTTCTCCATCACTGAGAAGTTGTAGCCACTCAGCATGAACTTGGGGTCATTGTCATTCCTGTCCATGACGTTGATGGCCACAGACGCTGTGCCCTTGAGGCTGGGGCTGCCCTTGTCTGCTGCCACCACCAAGAATTCATAGCGCTCCCTCTGTTCTCGGTCCAGCATTGCCTTCACTCGGATCTCCCCAGAGTCGGGGTCAATGGTGAAAGAGCCCTTAGAGGAGGGGTCCATCACCAGGGAGTAAACCAGCTCGGCATTGGAGCCACTGTCAGCATCACTGGCGCTCACCTCCATCACTAGGTCATCGGGCTCATTGTTCTCAGGGAAAGCCACCTCGGTGAAGCTCTGGCTGAAGACGGGTGCATTGTCATTCACATCGACCACCTGCACCTTCAGGGAGTTGGTACTGGAGAGGGGTGGGTTCCCCGAGTCCACTGCAACAATCTCAATTGTGTATTCCTTCACTGACTCGTAGTCCAGCGGTGTGGTGGTCTGCAAGAAGTATTTCTTCTTGCTATCACTTCCTGTTTCACTGGCCTGCCGCAGCTGGAATGGGACATCACCAGCTACCACACAGGTAACAACGGCATTTTCACCTTCATCTCGGTCAGATACCTGCACCAGAGCCACAGCTGTCTCTACCGGCACATCCTCTGAGATGTTCGCCATGCCATCCTGGTGGGTGACAAGCCCAATGCCCCGGATCTCTATGGAGGGAGCGTTGTCATTCATGTCTTTGATGGTGACCACCACCTGGGTGCGGGCGCTCTTGGGGTTGGCCCCCTTATCCTTGGCCATGACGGAGAACTTGAGGATGCTGACGTCCTCCCGGTCGATGGGCCCCTGCACAGTGATGAGCCCCGTGGTGCGATCGAGGCGCAGCAGACGACGCACTATGTCTGAGGCCTGGTGGAAGGAGTAGTCAATTTCGGCATTGGCGCCCTGATCTGAGTCATTGGCTTTCACCTGAGGGATGAAAGGAGAAATGGTGAGCGGGAGGGCAAGCTGCACGAGCCCCTCCACAAGCCGCTGCGCTGCCCATGAAGCCCTCCTTTCAGGCAGGCTGGGGGGAAAAACCAGGATTTCCTCTTCTGGGGCCAAGGCCTATGGGGCAAAGAGCCTGGGACTGGAAGGGCAGCTGGGAGCGGCCCTCTGGCAGGGAGACTTTTCCTCACTCTTCCAGCGAAACCGGCTGGGCCGGTCAGGCAGTGCTCCTCTCCCGGCCGGCTCTGGCATGCAGGGAATCCTCCAGGAGCCAGGGCGGCAGCCCAGGCAGCAGCAGGGAGGGACTGCAGGGCTGCAGGCCCACCTCACACCCTCTCTTCCCTCTACTGGCTAAGCCCTCTCTTCCCATTACTGGCAGCCCTGCTCTACTTTTACCCCGGCCGTCAACTCAGCAACCAGATTGGAAGGGGGGCTCGAAAGGTTGACCAGCCCTGGAGGGGCCGTGGCCTGCCTCGCACAGCACGGGCAGCAGCTGCCTGCCCTGTGTGACCTGTGAGGCTGACATCTGCCAGTGGAGGTGGCCAGGACGTCAGATCAGGCCAAGCAAGGCTGCAGCAGCTCCAACCTGGCTTTAAGGGGTGCAGCCCAATAGGGGCTGGGGCCATCTACACAGTGCATGGCACCAGCCTTCTCTGCCCTCCTGTCAGGAGCTCTGTGTTCACAAAAACCTGCTTCTACACCTATTATTTGCTTTCTAAAGAAGATGAGGTTTGTCTAACTTTTGCCTCCCTGATCGGCTCTCCAAGCGGCCTCTTCTCTGCACCATTTGCTGCTCTGCCGTTATCTTGCTCAGCAGATTTGGATGGAGAACGAAAGTTGTTAAATGTAAATTCCACCTTTTACCTCCACTCACAAAAAAGGCGGAAGTCATTTTCCCCCTGAAAGATAAAAGCTGAGCAATGGCAGCAGCGGCATCTCAGCCCATTCTCCTCCCGGCCATGCAGCTCCCTTATCTGCTTCCAACTTCCATTCTCTTAACAGTGAAAAATGAATTCTTAAAATTCACATCAGAATTAGCAAGCAGATGAGAGCTGGCCGCGCTCCGCTTATTAAGATGGCAGCTGCAGATAAACAGATGTCGGCTACTATCATCTCAATGCCCCCTCTAAGCCAAATCCATGGAGATCCATCCCCTTGGGCTTCCTCGGCCAATTCTCGCTGCTGCCTGTGACGGGACAGAGCCTCAGCCACAGCAGAGCCCTGGGCACAGCAGGACACCCCTGGAGCCACGGGCAGAGCCCCAGGTAGGCACCAGGGAAGCTGCCTGTCCTCCATCTCCTGAGCGAGCCTGAGTTTCCACAAAACAGCCAAGGGAATGTAATTTACGAAAGGGTCCATGTCTTGCCTGCAGGCAACATTTAAAGCAGCCTGGCAGAAAGCCAGGCTCCCCTTGGCCCTCAGGTCCCAGCCCTCCCCTGAGACCTGGAGCCTTGCTCTTTAATATCCATAAGCTCTGCTGCTGCCCCTCAGACATGGCCTGCAGCCCCTGCCCCGGCTACAGCTTCCCTCACATCCTTCCCAGTCTCATTTTAGGAGATGTGACATCCCAGGGATGTTGCCCACCCCTTGGCCCTGGGATAAGACGATGGGTTCTTACAGCTAGCAACCCCTCTAGGGTCTTTCCTTCCTCAAGGCACTGTGGCAGCTAGTGGCTGTATAAATGCTCCCTGGGTTGTTCCTGTCAAAGCCAGGCTGGAGGGGAGCAGAGGAGGAGAAGAAAGTCCGTGCTCCTGCATGCACTCACCTGGAGGACAGAGTGCCCCACAGGGCTGTTTTCGGAGAGCTCCGCCTCATACAGGGCCTTCTCAAACTTGGGCGCATTGTCATTCATGTCCAGGATGGTGATGCGTAGCAGGGCGCTGCTTGCCCGTGGTGGGTTGCCTCCGTCCTGCACTTTGATGGTCAGGTCATAGGAGTCCCACTGCTCCCGGTCCAGGTTCCCCATGACAATCAGCTGTGGCTGCTTCTCATCCTGATCCTCAGCCACCTGCAGCCCAAAGAGCTCCTGTGCCTCAGGACCAGCCACTAGCTCATAGGAGGCAACGCCATTGGGACCCGAGTCCCGGTCCATGGCCAGGGGGATGGAGAAGAGTGCCCCAATGTTGGTGTTCTCGTGGATGGACAGGGGGATAACAGGGGAGGCAAAGTTGGGGGTGTTGTCATTGATATCGAGCACCTCTATCTCCCCCTCAAGGAGACGTGGGCTGCTGTTCATCATCAGGTCAGTGATGGACACTTCAAACTCCAGCAAGCAGGGGTGTCCAGGTAGGAGGTGCTGGCACTCATGCAAGCTCTCCCTGTCAATGGAGGTCTCTGTGGTGTAGATGTCCCCAGTCTTGCCATCTACACGTAGATAGGGGGCCCCCACTTCCAGCTTGTAGAGGTGCCCCATGTCTGGGAAGCCGTAGTCAGAGGCCAGGCTTCCTATAAGTGTGTTGGGTGGTTGTTCCTCCTGCACTTTGTAGACCACACGCGTCCCAGAGACCAGGGCAGGGAGCTGGAAGAGGAGCCACACGCCCAGGCAGGATGCTAGTGGTTTCATCCCGCACTGCAGGGGAGCTGGAAGGAGACACAGACACTGGAGGTTAGGGAGTGCGATCCCCAGGCCCCTGGGTCTGCTCCACCCCAGCCCACCTTCGCACTGCTGTGGCATATCCTTTTGGGTGCACATCCTGTGTCTGGCAGGATTGGACATGGTCCCAAAACATCTCCCTGAAGGGCAGGGACTTCAGTGATTTTTCTAGCAGATTTGGCCCCAGCTGTTGTCTCCTGGCAGCCTCCAGCAAGAAAATGCCCAGGAGGACTGGTCCCAGCTTGCAAAGTTCCTGCAACACCCTGCTGGAGTGAGCAACCCAGTCATTGAAACCCCAGCCCTGGCTTCCTCTCACTTGCAGGAAGCCACTCCTGCCACTGTCCACCCTTTTTGTCACCACACAAACTGTAATTAGACCCAGTGAGGCACACAAACAGGGTGGACTGCACACAGCCTTCTGCCAGCAACCCGATGTGAGCCAGCTAGGCTTAGAGACAGCTTCTCACCACAGAAACACAGGGACATTGTGTGCCATGCACTGCAGGAGCACTGCCTGCCATGCACTGCAGGGACACACAGGCACTGCACTCATCTGCCTGCGCTGCAGAAACAGAAGCACCAAAGGGACACAGGGGCTCTGTCTGTACTACAGGGATGCACTGCCATCCAGCACTGCAGGGACACAGGGCATTGCCTGCACTGCAGGGATGTGGGGGTACCACCTATTCATCAGTGCGGGGACATGGGGCACTGCCATGGCAGGCACACAGCGGTAGTGCCTTCCTTGCACTGCCAACCACAGCAGCACTGCCAGCCTCGCACTGCAGAGATAGGAGGGCGCCACCCATCCTGCACGGCAGGGATGCAGGGGTACCGTGCATCATCCATCACGCACTGTAGGCAGGGGCACTGCCATCTATCTGCACTCCTCACAGAAAGAGGGGCACTGTGCACCCCTTTACTAGAGGGACACAGAGTCACTGCCCACCCAGCATTACAATCACAGGCACTGCAGACATACACCTCACACTGCAGACCCTGTGCCTCCCCGCAGAGCAGCTACACTGCACAGCCCCTGCACACTGCAATGATAGGCACACCATCTCCCCTCCGCTACACAGTCACTAGGCAACCCCACACCCTGCACCAGCAGATATTATGTTCCTTTCACTCGCTGCAGATACACTGTTCCTTCCCACTCCCTCCCACTTCAGACTGGGACACTGCACATCCCGCGAGTGCCCATCCTGCCCTGCAGAGACGGCCCCATGTTGCATGCCCAGTGCTGATGCCCACCCTGCACGCTGCAGAGATAGTGACAGAAATACTGCCCCCCTGCATTGCAGAGACACACACTGCACATGCTGCACTGCAGGCACTGCAGGCACACAGCCACTGGATACCTCCTTCCAGTATGCGCACATTGCAGAGGCAGAGCCAGGCATAATAACCACTAGCCCCACAGAGACTCTCCACTTCTGGACCAACACCCTGCCTGGTGCTGTGCCCAGCCACCAGCTTTCCTGTCCTCCCCAGTCCATTCTGGGAACACACCTTCTTCCAAGCACATCCACACGGCTTGAGCTGAGCCATGGGCACCACTGTGGGCCATGAAGGGACACAGTCCAGCTCACCAGCTCTCAGAAAGCCCAGTGGCTTCACCATATGCCCTAAAAATCAACAACCACAAGCACAGCCCCCAGTACCTGTGATGGCCCCACAGCAACCCTTTCTTGCTACCCCATCATTCCCTCTCCCCATACTCTTCACCCATCTTGGGAGCCTCTATGGGACAGGCAAGCTGTCCTCTACCACCTCTGCTCTGCAGTGCCACATAGCAAGTCCCTAACTCTTGGTCACTGGCATCCGTAGCTCTCCTCAACAAATGGAACACCCTGCACTGTCCATCCTGGTACCTCCGTCAAGCCAGCAGCTCCCAGGCCATCCGCTCCTGTGCTCCCTTGATGGACGAGTGCCACCCAGCCCTCCTCGGTGGGCACGCAAGAGAGCTGTCCCTCCCCAACAAGTGAAAACACATCTCTGCTCCTGGAGGCAAAGCTATGGCCCCAAAGCCCAGCTCACGCTCTGCCCCATGCCTCTGGAGCTGCTCCCTTATTCTGCAGCCTTCACACGCAGAAGAAACATTCCCGGCCCTGCTGAGGGAAAGGGCACAGATGGTAGAAGGCGAGTGGTGTTACCATCGCTGCCCAGCCAGATGTGCATGGGCCAGCACAACTGTTCAGACCAGGGTAGGGGAAAGCACGCTATGCACAGATACTTCTGAGACCTTCCTTTTGCCAGATGGAAAGGAAAAGGAAACCTGGTCTTCCTCCACCCCTCCACAGGGCCAGGAGTGGAGCTGGTAAGAAGCAAAGTATAAACATACTGTGTCTCTGCAACAATACAGGCAAAAGCTAGCAGTGAATACACGTGCACATGTGTGCGTCTACACTAAGAGAATGTGTGCATATGTCTGTGTGTGCACTCTGAGTGTGTGTGCACCTGCACTGAGCACAATTGTGTGTTTCTGCTAGGAGACAGGGTACTTGCGCAAGCATGTGTACAGGCAGTGTGTATGGACCACACATATGTATACACTATGAGAAGCACATCTTTATCTGCATGAGGAGAATATGTCCACTACATATGAGTATGCATTCATGTATGGAGCACACATCCACGTGCACTGAGCAAGGTGTGCATCTGCACCAGCAGAGTGTGTGCATGCCAGTGTTGCCACTGTGTGTGCCTGTGTGTGTGATCTCTCCATGTGTGGGGGTAATTGCACTGTGTGTGTGTGTGTGTGTGTGTGCGCTGTGTTAATGTGCGTGCATACCCCTGGTATGAAGAGTACTCCCACAAGGATCATGCATGGGTCTACCCACAGCACATATACGTACTCACACTGCCTGCGCTGTCCACAGCAGGAAGGCCTTCACGGGCCTGTGTGTGTGTGTGTGCACCAGAACTGGGTTTCATCGCCCCATTGCTTTGTACTCCCTTTGGAAATGGCTGTGCAGCAGGGGCAGACTAACAGGAGGAGAACAGAGGTAACCCAGTGCACTGGAAGAGGCCTCCTGGGAGAAGCTATTTCTACAGCCCTGGCCGGAAGAGGCGCCCACGTCTGCCTCCCACTGCGAGACTGTTTGCCCAAGCCTGTTTGCACTGGGCTGGGCCATGACTACCGATGACGTAGCGCCGTTCTGACTAAGTCTGAGTACAGGGTAAAGGATCTCAGGTAAAGGTGAAAGTCCCAAAGCAGGGCAATACCTCTGCCCATCACACGGCCCTGAGTCAGCTGTGGCGCTGGGCTCCAGGAGCTGGACATGCAAGGAGGCCTGTCCCATCCAGGCATCTGAAGGAGGAAGGGAGTTACCCAAAGGAGACAGCACCCATGTTTTCTGCTTCGAAAAAGGGGCTGGCACATGAACCCACAGAGCAACGTGTCTCATCCATGCCTTGCCTCTGCAGGCAAAGGAAACCTCCAAAGCAGAAAGGCTTCAGGAAAAGAAAGGGCTGGAAACCTGAGTGGGATCATCACAGCATTTTCACCCCACAAGGGACTGCCTAAGGGGAATGTAGAGCAGGCATGAAATGCCCTGGGGTCACGAGGGTAACAAATCTTGCTTGGTATTTAGGGATGTGAATGACACAGTGCAGACGTGAGAGCCCAAAACAGGGCGCGAGGCCGAGGTGCAAGTCTCTACCACCAGGCAAAAGCACGTCTGTGCAGGAGACAGAGGCTTCCCAGGGGCCAGTCTAAGACATCGGACTATTTTCCCATGGGATCTAAGGACCATCCCACGCTTTCTTTTCTGGTGCCAGGCACCTTTTTCCGACCTGCTGGCAGAACACAGAGCACTTAAAAATAAAAACCCCTCCCAAAACAACTACTCCTCTGCATATACAATTCTCCCTATGGGGAGAGTGTGAGAGAGATTGAACCACATGAGAGAAGCGTTAGTCACGCTGCTTAATGCATGACTGAGAAGCTCTCAGAGGACAGTGGCATGCAAAATCCTACAGAATTCAGTCATTCCCCCCAAAACAACCCCTAATGAAGGAAAGGTTACAACATGATGAGACTTTAAACAACTGCTTGAACAGCCCTTTGCTCCCTGTGTTTCCCCACAGCCACCTCGGCCCAGTTTCGCAAAAAGCCAGCGCTGCTCCTGAAATAGGCAAAGTCCACCCTCTTATTCCTCCCAACGGCTGACTGCATGGCTTGAAGCTGTGCTTACAAGTCTATCCAAAGCCTGCACTGAGCACACAAGTACTAATCCCCCCACACACCCCCTCCAAGCTCTGCTGTGACGCTCAGAGCTACAGCAATACTGGAGCAAACAGTAAATGCTAATCATGGCTCCACTAGCTCCCCTCCATGCAAAGGGCTGAGACTGAGGACAATACTGTCCAAAAACCATCCACTAATGTCCAGTCTCACATTGAAGACATGGATGGGCTGAATCCTTGGCATTAGGTAGCACATCCCATCCTTAATATATGGTTTCTTTAGGCTCCAACTACCACTGCGGCTGCTCGGCATTTACGCAGACTGGGCCCAAGCACTCTAAGCTGGAGCACCCTGCGATGAGGAACAGCACCACTTGTAAACAGTTCTACCCCCAGACCATTTCTTTAAAGGTCCACAGTGAAGAAAAGAGCACAAAGCCGGGGCCCTCCCCCCCCCTCCCCCTTTCTCCTTCTCCACATCCCTTCCAACTCCAGCAGCCGGGGAGGCAGAGACCTGTCAGAGCCTCCCCGGGGCAGCAGCCCCCCTCCTCCCACCCAGGGGCCCCGCCACTGCCCTTCCCTGA